ACCTCTACTCACCAGCAGTGTCTGCCGTTCAACCAACGGTGTTGAAGGCAGGGCAAGTTTTGAGAGGGGTGCTCCGAAGAGGAGTGCAGATACGACAATACGACCTCGAGAAGGCTTTCTATTCTATCGGTATCGACGTCATCGACGTGGCTACTGGTGAACATACTCCAGTCTACCTATCAGTCGGTAAGGAGTTGATTGAGTGTTCTAAGCTAGCTTTTGGGCTGGCGGTAGGTCCGCATGCGTTACACTGTACTCAACGTATCATTCGCAAAGTCGTTCGCTGCGCTTACGAGGTTTTGCGAGGTGCTCAATGTCACGATGTCTACCCTGCCATTGTTGTTGTCATGGACGACTTCGTAGTAGCCGGTGAGGCTCCTGTTCTTGATGTCGTCGAACAGCTGCTTTTGCTGGGTTGGGACCTGTGCGGTTTCAATTGCCCTGATGCGAAGCGTGAGAGATGGTCGAGTGGCCAAGGTACCCGTTGGCTCGATAATCTTTGGTGCTGGGACGATGAGCACAAGAAGTTATCTGTTAAGCGCTGTGAAGCTCCGGTGGTCCCGGAGGCTGAGATGTTGAGTAAGCGTATCGTGTTCCGGTTGGCCGGGAAGATCGGCTCGGTAACGGGAGGCGCTTATGAAGCTTTGGCGAGATGTCATGCTGATGCAGCACGAGTCGCTGCTGGTCGGGCCGGTTCCTGGGACGATCAGGATCAGCCCTGGGCGAAAGAAGCGGAGTTGCGAGTCAGGAAGCATAACGATCTTCTTCAGATCTATGGAGAGGAATGGCTCCAATGTCGCAACCGAGTGGCTATGTCTAAGAAGTTAAGCTCTTCGACTGAACGACTATCGCCTGGTGACAAGGCTATTCTCTTCAATCCGGGTAAGGTCGGTGGATCCCGAGAGTCCAAGCTCTCTGGTTGTGCGTCCGGGCCTTATTATGTGCTCGAGGCTGTTGGGGATCAATGCTATCGCCTAAGCTTAACTTCCACTGGTCAAGGACGCAGTGCAGTATTCCATGCAAGTCGCTTGCGGAAATACGATGGTCCTGCGAATCCGGAGTCCAGTGTTTGTCCACTCTGCCGAGAATTTCGTGATGATATGGTTATGGTTGCCTGCGATGGCTGTGAGCGAGGGGGATCGCCAGACCCTTGGGCAGGCTCCTTGGACTTCTTGGAAACACGACTCGGAGGCATAGAGACGAAGGGGTTAATAACGGATGTTTTATGATCACTTCGAACGAATGAGGGCACGCATGCGCAAGAACACGCAAGTACAAACCACGTCACTCGGGCGTGGCGCGGTCGATACATCCAAACCGCACGAACCGTCTAATAATGGAGATAATATGACTAATGACGAATAAGTAGACTGATGACGAGGAAATCCATGGAAGGAATGGAGTGCTCAGC